TCCTGCTACCCACCAAACATCTTTCACAAACTTCCTGGTAGCTTTTTGCGACCCGACGGGATGAATCAATGAACAGCATTGTAAACAATACTTTGCTTGCATTGAAATATTACCGTGCTCCCCCTAGAAGAACAAAGGTTATTTATGAAAGCAGTGGTGACTAAGAAAATCAACTCTTATAAAATTACTAAGTTTTAAAAATAGATGGAAATACACTTGTTTTATTCTGATTATATGCAGTCTAAGCAATTAATCTTAGAAACAAAGAAACTACATTAGTTAACTGGGTTATATTAGAATGATTTTTTTCGGCAACCTTAAAATTATCTCCTTCATACAAATTTCTTTGCTATTTTTTTTTTTTTTTTTTTTTTTTTTGAGACGGAGTCTCGTTCTGTCGCCCAGGCTGGAGTGCAGTGGCCGGATCTCAGCTCACTGCAAGCTCCGCCTCCCGGGTTCACGCCATTCTCCTGCCTCAGCCTCCCCAATAGCTGGGACTACAGGCGCCCACAACCGCGCCCGGCTAATTTTTTGTATTTTTAGTAGAGACGGGGTTTCACCGTGGTCTCGATCTCCTGACCTTGTGATCCGCCCGCCTCGGCCTCCCAAAGTGCTGGGATTACAGGCGTGAGCCACCGCGCCCGGCCATTTCTTTGCTATTTTTAAATGATCTCAGTAATTTCATTTCTGATTATGAATCTGGCACATATATACCATATAGAAAATATAGGAGATCACGGAGGAAAAAATACTCATGATTTCACTGTCCAGAGATTTAAGTGTGTAAGTTGAGTATCCCTAATCTGAAAATCTGAAATACAATTTATTGTTAAGTACTGATCTCAATTTCTGTAACCCTGATGAACTTATTCATTCTAGTGGTATTTTAGTATACTCCTTGAGGTTTTCTTCATGTAAGAACATATCATCCTCAAATAAAGGTAGTTTAACTTCTTCTGTTCCAATCTGTATACCTTTTTTTTTTTTTTATTTCATTCTCTTACCTAATTGTCCTGGCTACTATCTCCAGTACAACATTGAATAGAAATGTTGATAGTGGACATCATTGTATTATTCCTAATTCAAGGTGAAAGCATTGAGTCTGTCCCACTAAACATGATGTTAACTGAAGCTTTCTGACAGATGTCCTCTATCAGGTTGAGGAAGTTCCCTTCTATTCCTTGTTTGTTAAAAGAATACTGAATTTTGTCATATGCATTTCCCACATCTATTGAGATGATCACATTAGTTTTGGTTTATTTTCTACTGATACTACATTAATTGGTTTTCAGATGTTAAACTAACCTTCTATGCCTGGGATAAATCCCACTTGGTCATCAAGTATAATTTGTGCAGATGTTACTGGATTCAGTTTCCTAATATTTTTTGAGGATTTTATGTCTGTATTTAAAGATGACATTCATTTGTTGTTTTCTTGTGATGTCTTGGAGTGTTGGAGTAATACTGCTCTCATAGAATAAGCTGGGAAGTGTTCTCTCCTCTAATTTTGGAAGAGTTTGTGAAAAAGTGATATCAACTCTCCTTTAGATGTTTGGTAGGATTTAGCTGTGAACCCATCTGGGCCCAGGCTTTTCTTAGCATGTGGTTTTTTTTTTTTTTTTTTATTGCTAATTCAATCTCTTTAGTTTTAGAAGTCTATTCAGATATTCAGTTTTGATTGCTTGTGGTTTTTTTTCTGTATTTAAAGCTATTGCAAACTTCTACTTTGTAATGTTTGTGATAAGAAATAGAATGTCATCATTTCATTTAGTCCTCTGTATGTAATGTGCTTTTTCTCCTTTTATTCCTCTTAGGATTTTCTGTTCATCACTGGTTTTGATTAATGTGAGTACAGTGTTCCTTGGTGTAGGTTTATTCATGTATCTTGTCCTTAGGATACACTATGTTTCTGTGATATTAGGGATTTATGACTTTCATTGACCATCAATGATAGACTGAATAAAGAAAATATGGTATATATACACCATGGAATACTCTGCAGCCATAAAAAGGAATGAGATCATGTCTTTTGCAGGGACATGGTTGAAGTTAGAAGCCATTATCCTCAGCACACTAAGGCAAGAACAGAAAACCAAGCGCCACATGGTCTTAATTATAAGTGGTAGCTGAATGATGAGAACACATGGACACATGGGAAAACAACACACACTGGGGCCTGTCAGAAGTGAGGGGTGGGGGTTGGGGGGAGGGAGAGCATCAGGAAGAGTAGCTAACAGATGTCGTGGTTAATAGCTAGGTGATGAGATGATCTCTGCAGCAAACCGCATGGCACATGTTTACCTATGCAACAAACCTGCACATCCTGTACATGTACCCCACAATTTAAAAGTTGAAGGAAAAAACTAAATAAAGATTTAAAAAATCCACTTAAACCTCCATACTGGCATCACAATTAAATCAAAATTAATTACAGAACTAAATGTAAACTGAAAAACTAGAGAAATTACACCAGAAAACATAAGAGAAACTCTTCATGATGTGGAGTTAGGCTAAGTATTCTTAGTTATCACATCAACAAAACGATTAAGGAAATCATTGATCAATTCAACTTTATACAAATTAAAAATTCTTGGTCAGCACAAGACACTATTCATAGATTAAAAAGACATGCCACAGACTGGGAGAAAAATATGAGAATCACTAATATGACAAAGAACTTGTGTGATGGTTAATTGTGTGTGTCACTGTGACCGAGGCCCAGGGTGTCAGGACATTTGTTCCTATGTTATTCTGTGTGTGTACTGGAGGGGGGATCTGGATGACATTAACACTGGAATAGGCAGTCTACGTGAAGCAGATTGCCCTCCATAAAGTCAGTGGGCCTCATCCAATCAACCAAAGGCCAGAGGAGAAGTAAAAGGCCTAATGAGAAGGAAATACTTTCCCGGGTATCTGCCTTTCTGTCTTGGAAATTTCAGCCTCCAGAATCTCATGTCCAAAGTGTCTGTATACACACACACCCCCCACAAACACACACACACACACACACACACACCATATACATATACATAAATATATATTAATATATACATATATACACACACACACACACTTCCTAGGTAAGTAAGAAGGATTGCATTTTGTAAGGCTCAGCCATTCAATGATAATTCTTGAAGCTGGCCAGTGATTATGGGGATGTTGTAGTGTAGGATTCTGTCTCCTTATTTATACTGTTGAAGTTCTGCATTTGGAGAAGTAGGATAGAATAATAGCTGAATTTCTCCACAGACACTTCAAAGCCCTGGGGATTAACACAGAGTCAGAAATACCACCCATAATCCTGCCCCCAACCAGGGCTAGGGAACTCTGGGCCCCAGGTGATTTTATTTAGCCAGGTCTGGGAGCCACATAACAGCAGAGGGAGAGGAAACACCAGGCAAACAGAGGCCAGCACAGCAGCGAAGTCCTGTTAATGACAAAACACAGGTAAAGGCTTCCTCAGAAAGCCAGTGTGGAGAAACACAGATGAGGCCTGAGACCTGGTACATCAGAACCCTGCTACTGGGCAATTAAAAACCTTTTCAGTACAATGTTAAACGGGAGCTGTCCAACTCTTCCTATAAAACAAAAAGCACACACACATACACAAACACAAAAAGGAAACATCAACATAGAAATACAGTAAATACATTCTACCATGTATGGTAAACATAGACTAAAACATGGAAGAGTTTAGAATATAAACAGAGAAATAAGACTTTTTAAATTAATCTAAATTCTTATACACCAAAATCAATCATAATAAAGCTTAAAACATTATCCATAAAAAATCCAATAGTCCAGAGTGAGAAGCAAAAAATGTTTTAATGGAAGAGATTTAAAACTTAAACATTTTAACTGATGGACTATAATTAATTTTGGATGCAAGTTAAAATTGGGGCAGAGAATCTTCTTTATCACAACAGAATGCCAGCAAAAAGAATTAAAATTAATTTTGGATGAAAGTTAAAATTTGGGCAGGGAATATTTTTTCTTATGAAGAATGCCAGCAAAAGCAAGTCTAAAGTAAGATTTTGAGATAGAAAATTTTCAAAGTACAGACATAAATATAATAACTGACACAGGCAGGGGTGGTTAATCGATGATAAAATACTCAGAGGAAGATTGTTAGAATACAGGATGTTGATACTGTTTCAAACCACTTTCCAAATTAATTATAACCAAGATGACTTTACAAGGGACAGAGCTCCTAGACACCTCCTTTACCAAGTGACCATCCTAGTATCACAACAATGTGGATGGACACACTGGGCCTTCTCTGCCTGCAGATGGATTGAGGTAGGAAGCTCACAGCATGGACTCTGCAGAGTTCCTGGCAAAATGTTTAGGCTGAATTTAATCATGAGGACATTTTCAGATAACTTCAGAATGTAGACCATTGAGCCACACAGTCAACCTGTCCTCTACAAACATTACATGTGATCACCATCAATGACAACAAAAAGAGGAAGAGATGTTTTGGGTTCAAAATGACTAAAAAAGCACAAACTACATAGCCTTTTTAGTCTTTTTGAGCCCAAATTGTCTCTTCTTGTTTTTGTTGTGTTCTTGGTGGTGACATGGACTGTTTGAAGGGGACAGGTCAGTTGTCTTGTTCAATGTTCTACATTCTGCAGTTGTCTGAGGGTTACCTCCTGTGAAACTCAGGCTAAGCGTTTTCAGCAAGAACATGGCATTGTTCATACTCTGCCCTTGCAGAGTTCCGGCTGACATGCTGTCTCCTGCCAGCGGCTCCTGACTCCTGTTCTCTACACGATGGGAATTGAGAGGAGCAGGGCTAAGGCCTGTGAATGCTGTTTGTCCATCTGGGCATTGGTCTCCCTAGGCATTGATTACAATTGGAGGGGGATGGACTGTGGCTTCTCAAATCAAAGGAGCATAGTGGGTTGAAACCATCAAGAGTATTCTGTGTCTAAAATTCAATCCTCAGTGAAGGACCCTTGCAGTATTGTGTTTTGATTTGAACTTTCTTTGCTGTTTTAGTTGTTTTCATCAAGTGGAAAAGCTACTTTTTGTGACATCCTTTCTTCCTTTGCATCCTTCCAGCAGTATTTGGTATCTGTAGGGGAGAGAGAGAAAAAAATCAAATGAGCATTTTTGTCAGGTCCTCCTGATGGCTGAGTCTGGACGGATTGCTAGGTAGTGATATATCAGGGGCAAAAGGATCACCTGCCAGGAGGATGAGCTGAAGCGTGGGCCGTGGGTTTACTGAAGGGTGAAGCACCATCCACAAGCGAGAAAAAAACACTCCTGAACTTCCCTGAACTTCCAGTCAGCCTGGGGTGCAGGATATAAGGACCCCACCTATGCACAACCAGCAGTGGGGAACATCAGCCCTTTTCCTCCTGATCCCCTCTGTCTGGAGCAGAGTGATGGCTTTTCCTCCCAGTGAGGATGTGCTCAGCATCCATCATGCCTGCCCAGAAACAGAGGGGAGCAGGAGGAGAGGACCCTTTGCAGAGAACCCCACCACCTTACAACTCCATGTCCTAGTCTTCTAGGGCGGAATGGGAGGGCCATGGGATGGGAGAAGCAGCAGGAACCTCAGACAACATCACATCCAGGTCCATCTTTTACGACAGAGAAGTAGTGATGCCACAGGGGTAAGATTGAACTAAGGCCACATGACTTGCTATTGACAACCCAGGAATTAGAATCCACCCACTAAGGCCGTTTCAACAAAGATTGGAGAAAGCAAGAGGAAAGGCTCCAATCTGGAGGTCTCAACAGTCATGAGAGACGGTTGGGTCACCTTGGTTAGGACGGCAATAAAGTTTTACAAATAAATATGATGTTGCTGCTGCTTCTTTGGCTAGTTAAAAAAAAAAAAAGAAGATAATTATAAGTATTTGTCCAAAGGGGATCAGGAAAGAACGGGAATTTTTAAAAAGCGACTCAAAATGATGTTAGCAAAGAGAGAGCGGGGACTGTAACCACGGCCCAACATATTTTCCTTAATGCCCTGAAATTGATTTCACATCTGGTTCCACCTTAAGGCATTTCTAGAAATATTCTCAATATCTAGAGCAAGAAAACTCTGAAGTACAAAGTGAAATGGATTAGTTTTTGTTTTACTACATTCTCCCCTCCCACTTACTGTTTTCCCCTAGTACATTTTGGGAAAGGTTTCTTTTTAATATTTTATGCCAGTGTGAAGAGAGGTATGAAGAAGTATTCATACACAGTCTCTTGCAGAATTTCAGTCTTACTGTGTTACTGTATTCTCTTCAGGATAGTGAGACTGATGAGTTCTCTTTGGCGATTTTGCAGAAGGACAATAATTGACCAAAAGTAAAATTTTCACATTGCAGTGGTGAGCGCATGAGTGGGCTATAAAATGGGTGTGGGGAAATGTAAACTGGAAGTTTTCCTTTAAAATGCAAAAAAAAAGAAAAAAGAAAAAATACTAAATTCCACTATATGTAATATGGGAGGTATTATTTCAATACATTAGGTGTTAATATAATGACTATTTCTTGTCTTTTATTCAAAACTGAGCAAGTGTGCTTCAAGCAGAGGCTAAAAGTCTAATCTATTAATTTTCTTGTTCGTCTTATTGATTTTTTCTATGCTATACAAACAGTACTATTGAGAGGGAAATACAGATCCCATCAAAGACTGATGGATACTCAGCCTTTTCTGTGGAGTAGCCACACGTATGCGACACTTCCATGTTGGTAACCTGAGGTCACGGTACACCAGGGGTCCTTGTCACCTTTAGCCACATATTAGAATCACATGGGAGCATTTTAAAACTACAGATGCTCAAACCACACCCCAGGCCATGTAAGTGAGAATCTCGAGGTGTGAGTTCAAGGCATTCATCTTAATGGAAACCTCAGCAGGTGCTTATTACATGGAAGCAGGATTTAGAGATATTAAATGGACCAGCCCAGTTTCTCATCATTTGCTTTCCTTTCCCCATTTCTCTCATGATTGGCTTTGTTCCCAGTGGTTCTATGTATTGTAGCCTTCTCCCTGACAATTTCAGTTCAATCTCTCTCTTATCAACTGGGCTGGGCCAAAGCAAAGATTGTCCTATAGACAGATTTTTGTCTGTCATCTTGTGTATGCATTAAGCTGGTCCTGGAGTCACTTTTCTCAAAGTTAATTCATAAAATGCTCTCTCATATACTCTGGCCTCAAGATTCATCTGACTTGCATTTTAGACCCTTCATTGGACTTGTAGAAGTGGAAATGAGAATAAAAAGGAGAGAGGTTGGAACGATGAACCTCATGATGTATGCAGTTTTGAAGTCCTGCCCTCTGCATGTACTTTTGGAGTGATGTCCCTTTAGAATGTCATAAATGTTCTCCAGTTAACATCAGCTCAAGTGAGTCCATGAGGTGAGAACACTGAGACCCTGGCAACCCCATCCACATTGACACTAGGCTGCACATCTGGGGCTGAAGACAAACCTGACTCCAGGCCAGTGGGGAACTCCCGCCTGTGACCCCGGTTCTAATTTAGTTTCCTAAGTGGGGCTCTTTGTGCTTAGTTTTAACACTGCTCATTCAGAAGAACAAATGATGATTAAGAGTTGACTCAGTTGGGTTGCTCAGAAGAAGACTCAAGAGGAAAATCTATGTGTAAATGATGTATTGAAGCAATGATTTCTGCAGAAAGAGGCAATGGAGTTGGGATGCAGAGAGGAAAGTTAAATTTCCCAAGAGAGTGTGATTCCAGGCAAATATTCCTGTGTTCAGCAGCTTAACCTATGCACTTAGATGAGGACAAGGAGGCCTGGCTCTCCTGTGGCCATGAGAGGGGCTGTCAAGACACTAGAAGAAGGAATAGAGCAGAGTTCAGAGAGCAAAGAGGATATGGGGACAGAAAGGGCCTGTCAGGGTGGGAGCCCATGGGACACAGAGGTAACACCAGACAGAGGTTACAGCAGCTGTTAGAACAAATGGAAGAGAAAAAGCAGTAGGAGAATGAGCTGTCAATAATAGACAGAGAAATAAGAAGTGAGTGCAGCTATCCGCCATAGATGTGATTACCTCTGCACTCTAAGCTTGCAGGCCAGGGAATCTGCATGCCAGTCTCCACTTGCTGAATGAGAATTTTCGTTTGATGATCTTTGGTTTCAGGACACTGGAGGCGTGAATCTGGCCAATGACTTGATGCCCTTGTGTGTTGTCTGCTGAGCCTTTAAGTGCATCATCGTCCAGCTGGGGAGGGTTCTTCATCCCCAGGGAGGGCTCTAAAACCAGCTCTGAAAATAAAAACACAGTCAGTGGGATTCACTGGCATCCATGACCTAATTGTGACTTTCTCTTCCACCCAGAGGACATCAAATCAAGAAGGGGGTCTTGGACAAGAACGTCCAACGGGTAAGGGGAAGCCAGTAGAGTCACTTTAAAATTTTCTTTTTTGTTGATCTTTCCTACATTACTCAGTAATGACAAGATTGCCTGGAGCCAAAGGCACTGCCAATTTACATCAATAAGAAACACAGGATTAAGAAACACAAATAGCTTCCAGGTAGATAATATAAAGCCAAGGAAATAATACTCTATGTAGGCTATGCTTTGGGGAGAGCAGAGATTACAAAAATCAAAGTTAAATCAGAGCTGGGTTCACACAGGAGATGGGAATGAAAGGGCCTGGCAGGGTGGCAGCCCATGTGGCACAGAGGTGAGACCAGACAGAGGTGACAGCAGCTGATGGGAGGAAAGAATCAGGAAGACTAAACCTAGAGAATTTACAAAAGTTGCATCATTATATGATCTACTGCATATATATACACCCTATGTAGTATACACACCAGATATACATAGTCACACATAATGGGACAAATGACATAAATGCATATATCTGTACATATTATGTTATTTTACTTTTTAATTTTTTTAATTTTTTTTTTTTTTGAGACGGAGTCTTGCTCTGTCACCCAGACTGGAGTGCAGTGGCGTGATCTCTGCTCACTGCAAGCTCCTCTGCCTCCTGGGTCATGCCATTCTCCTGCCTCAGCCTCCCGAAAAGCTGGGACTACAGGCACCCGCCACCACGCCGGGTTAATTTTTTTTTTTTTTTGTATTTTTTGTAGAAACGGTTTCACAGTGTTTGCCAGGATGGTCTTGATCTCCTGACCTCGTGATCTGCCTGCCTCGGCCTCCCAAAGTGCTGGGATTACAGGCATGAGCCACCACGCCTGGCCTGTACATGTTATTTTAAAGGAAAAATATTATATAGGGATTTGGGAGAGATTGAATGTAACAGTATCATCACTATTCTGGTCCAATGAAATAGGGAAAAAAAATTAGAGACATGAGAAGAATGAGAAAGAAAAGGTGTGGAAGAAACAAATGACCTGGTAGACAGCAGGAGAAATCACCAGGTGAAGGAAAATATTAATGAAACAAAAGGCATTCACTCTGTCCTCTTACCTGGTGCCTGGTTCAGGCTCTGGACTGCAGGGAAAGTGAGCAACAGGGAGTGTGTCTGAGCCAGTGGGGTGAGTCTTGGCTGGGGGTGTGAGAATCCATAGAGAAGCAAAGGAGAGTCCAGTGGGAAGAAATCAGTTTAAATAAGTCATCCCGGGACGTGTCAGGGACTGCGTATCCCCCGACACTCCCTGAGCGCCTTCTATGTGTCCTCTCCATGGGCCCAGATGGTGCTTGTTATCTCATCCAACCCTCCCTCCTCCTGAGGACAGGGGTCCCCTCATTCCTCAGCCGAGGCCATCGCCTGACAGATGAGCACCAGGCATCCCCAGGGGCTCCAGGAGGAGATACTGAGTGGGAAGCGAGTGAGAATGAACACGACCCTGGGTTTTAAGGAAATCTGAGCAGAAGTGGATCCCTGTGAGACAGGAACTGAGGACATGGCCGTGGACATGAGTGGAGAATTTAAACTAAATGGAATTTCATAAAAGACACTAATGTGAACACTTTCCATGGTCCCTTTTATTTCAAAAAAAAGCAGGAAAAAAAGCAGAGGAAGCTGAACATGTCAGGAGACTGAGTGTGGGCCCAGGATTTACACTGTTACTCAATGTGCCTCATAGGTTGTTAGTGAAAGTGCCTGATAGGGGAAAATTGGCTTCATGAGGGATGGGGAAGGAGAGGAAGAAAACTGGCAGAAGAGTCTGTGTGAGAAAGGAGAGGAGGAGGGGCCCTAGAAAGCAGAGATCTTCATAACTGCTCTATCTCAGAGGAGACATCATCCGTGAAGTCACTTTCTAAGTGTAAATTGAGCAGAAAGATAAAAGGATTAGATAACACCTATTCATAGGTTTATGGGGCAATTCTTATGGAATCAGGCCCTTTGGAAATTATAATAATTAATATTCCCAACAGAGATTGCAGGTAGATGTAATTTTTCAGCTATCTCAGATGAGGGAACAGAGATGTAAATAGCAAAAACACAAAAACCTAAGCTAAAGTCAACAAGCAGAAAGTGGCAAACCCAGAACCTTTGCTCATCTCACTGGGTTGGAGCATCATGAATTTCATCTTGACCCTGAGGAAGCACAGAGTGGTCCCATTCTCTCCTGCACCCACAGCACCGTGACCACCAACACCTGGATTAGATCTTCATGACGCCGTTTCCTTCCCTACCTTGGAAGGGCCCTTGGTTCCCAGAATGAGCATTGGCTGAGAAGCTGCAAGTGGTAGAGGAAAGGCCCTGCCTGGCCAAGCCATTCCCTTGATCCAGCTGTAGTCGCAGACATTTGGGCTCCAGCTGTGCCTGTGAAGCCTGCACCTCTGACAGGTGGTAGCTCAAGTCTGCACTCCAAGTCCCTTGGGGACAGGCCCTCTTGGTGGGAGCTGAAAGGAGAAGGGGCTTCGGTAAGAACAACCTGAGTTTTCCCTTTGTTAAGACGACCAGAACACCCATCCCTAATGTCCCTGCTCTCAGTAAAGCCATCCAGTGACCCACGCCACACAGACAGACCTCATGTGAATGCAGGCGATATCACCTTTCCTGTCTGTGCCTGAATGCAAGCGACGTCACCTTTTCTGTCTGTGTCTGGGGACGCTGACAGGGCAGGGGCCCAGGCTGGGGTGTCCCTGAATGAAAAACCTCTGCTGCAGCCCAGAGGGCTTTGGATCGTCTAACAAGAACATCCCGATTATTTGGTTATTATTCATCTCCTTCCTGTGTCTAGAGGGAAAGTTCTAGAGAGCCCTCAGCTCGCAAGTGAGGCGGAGCTGTTTTTTCCCCACACAGGGGTGTAAGAACAGGCCAAGAGTTAGAGCTGCGAGGCTTTGAGAAAGAACCACGAGAAAGGGGCCTGGGATGCTACAGACCAAACACTAAGTGAGGCAAAATTTCTGGGTTCTGGGGCATTTTGAATTTCCCATTGCCCATAATGGTTTGACCCCCTGCCCGCACATATCCATCCTATTGCCATATAGTGGGTGTCAGCAGACAGAGGCAATGTAGGAGAGGGACCAGTCCCTTCCCGGAAATTCAGGGGCCACAAGAGCCACAGATCAGCATGTGCGGTTCCTTAGGAAGGTAACAGAGGACACGATCCTCACATTACCCACTGCTCCAGTGGCGTTCGGGTGGCACCCCTTAAACAGATTATTTCCATTTCCACAGGGAGAGGAATACACATTCTGAGTGGACTAAGAAAAGACTTCCAATGACATTACGCCAGTCCAGGTTGGGCTCAGGATACAGACAGGGCCTGCAGGGCTGGATCCACGTTGCTGTGGGGTCCTCTCTCTCCTCCCCTCTCCACATCCTCATTCTCTGCAAGGTTTTCTGTTTTCTTAAAAATGCCTCAGTGACCTCAGCTCCAACATGGAGATGCCACTGCCCACTTGGCAGTGTCCCTTGAACCCTGAATGGGTTATAGCAGGACAGAGCTTGCTTGCAAAGGGGCAGGACATACAGCAGGTGCAAGGACAGTGTGTATTTTAATTGTTTCATGCATCACTGTGATCCTAGAAAAGTATTTGCTTTTTTGAAACTCAGGGAGAAATGCAAAATGGGAATGGGGATGGTCCCAGTATGAAAGGCACTTACTGACCAAAATAGAATAGAGGCCAACATCTTTGTTGCTAGTTTCTTTCTGTGTGTGTGTGTGTGTGTGTGTGTGTTTGTGAGAGAGTGACACAGGGTCTCACTTTGTTGCTCAGGCTGGAGTGCAGTGGTGAAATCGTGGCTCACTGCAGCCTCAACTAACCAGGCTCAGGGGATCCTTCCACCTCAGCCTCCCGAGAAGCTGGGACTACAGGTGTGTACCACCATGCCCCACTAATTTTTTTTGTAGAGACAGGGTTTCACCATGTTACCCATGCTGGTCTCAAACTCCTGAGCTCAGGCGATCCACCTCCTTGGTCTCCCAAAGTGCTGGAATTACAGGCGTGAATCACGACACCTGGCATTTTTGCTAATTTCATTACAACATAATTCAATATACTGAGGGACAGCACAGAGTTACTTGCTCTTACAAGAAGACAATGTAATGGGTAAAACCCCCCAAAATCTACATGAAATTCCCAGAATAGAAGTTAAAAAAAAGAGAGAGAATGAGCAAGAAGAAATGAAAGCTGGATTTGGTTTTTACACGTCTTGTGAAGCTGCTACCTCAAGGGGCACTTGCTCAGAGAAAGGGTTTTCTGGACGTCATGGGGACAGGAACCACTCTGCTTTGCTCATCGGTTATGCCAGAACCTCATGAGGGACACTAGTTGTTGATGGTTTTCATGAGCATATAGCACTGAGCCCAAAACTTGATTGAAACTAGAAACCCACACGTGGAGAAAACCACTGGAGCTCTGCAGAGGATGCAAGCCTGGCCACGCATAGAGGAAGGGACACTGGACTGCGTCAGTGGAGGGAGGACCCCTCGGAGGAAGTAGAGCCACAGTCCCCAACCTTTTTGGCACCAGGGTCTGGTTTCATGGAAGACAGTTTTTCAGGGACTAGGTTAGGGGGAATGGTTGTGGGATGATTCAGGTACATTAGATTTACTGTGCACTTTATTTCTATAAATATTACATTGTAATATATAATGAAACAATTATACAACTCACCATAATGTAGAATCAGTGGGAACCCTAAGCTCGTTTTGCTGCAACTAGGTGGTGTCATCTGGGGTGACAGTCACTGGGAGCCAGTGACAAATCAACAGGCATTAGATTCATAAGGAAAGCACAATCTAGATTCCTGGCATGTGCACTTCACAATAGGATTCGAGCTCCTGTGAGAATCTAATGCCCCCGCTGATCTGACAGGAGGTGGAATCCAGGCTGAAATGCTCTCCCAATGCTCACTTCCTGCTCTGCGGCCCAGTTCCTAACAGGTCATGGACCCATAATGGCCCATGGCCCTATGGCTGGGGATCCCTGAAGAAGAGAATCTAGCCTGGGACACAGGAATCATGAAACAGGCCTCCAAATAGTTGGGAAAAACTCCCAGCATAGATGGATGGCCAGAGAAGAGATAAGGACATATAGTTTGCAACATAATTTCAGAAAACAGAGATGCCGTATCTTAAAGAAGGGGGTCTGTTATATAAATATACTGTGGCCAAGAATTTGCCATAAGCCCTCACCACACCCCTGTCTGGCCTGTTTTGACAGTCACAGCCTGCTCTTGTGAGAAGGAGCCAGGTGACAGAGGAGTCACTTGGGACAGGAGAAGAGGAAGTTCTACCCAGTGGATGTCCATGCTGAAAACTGCATCCAAGAGCCAAATTCAAAACAGGCTCAGTGTCTAGGGCCTGCCTGCGGAGGTGGTCTGTCTCAGCTGCACGAGTTGCAGAAACAAAACATACAGAGGCTCCCTGGGAGGACAGTGGAGCTTTGTGACCTCCAGGCTGGAGTACTCACAGGCTATATCCAGAGCAGAGCAGGCAAGTTGATCCTCCAGTGAGGACAAGGTGCTGCTATAAGGCTGGTGGCAGTCAGATAGGTCACGGTGAACTAAAGGAGTGAAGTAAACTTCATCCACGGAGTCCTCTGGCATTTCCTGCTCCTTCACCTCTGGCAGATCCTGGATCAAGCTGGGGTAAAGATGACAGAAGATAAACAACAGAGAGAACCAATACCACTGCGCCCAGCTGGTTCTATAGGGAGGCCCTCAGGAAGGCCCAGAGGAAGCAAAGTACAGTCCCCTCAGGGAGATACAACCATCATTCCCTGTCTTGAGCAGGAAACAGAGTGTGACAGGCTCTCAGTGCACTGGGCAGGCAGTGATCTGGGGAGGAAGGTAATGGAGTGATCCCTGTGGGAAACTGCCAGGACACAGTGCATTGGGCACTTTTGCATACATTTTGTTGAAATTAGTATCAGTAGCCAAATTAATACAGGCTCTTGAGGCTTCCCAGACAGAGTTCCTGTATCCTCAACATCTCTTGCTCTCAACATTGTAGCATGACAGAGTTATTTTCATTCACTTTTCTGCTGTCAAATACTTGTAAACATGGTAATGCCAATGAGGCAGACATCAGATGTGCAGCTCAACTTCACTTAAGCAAAAAGGACAGAAAAGGGAACTGCAGAAAATGTCTGTGACTGATCAGTTCAACAGAGTTAACTGAATGCAGATTAATAGAATTCAAATGAATTAATAAGGAAGAAATACAAATATAGGTGTACAATGAAAAGAGTCAACCTTATGAATACGGCTATTTCATGGCTGGCTGAACAGATGGAGCAGGTATATTCTGCACACTCTGATTTTCCCTGCATCCGAGACTCCAGATATCTACAGTGAATTAACTGTCCCTGATTCCTCAGAGTTACCTGGGGCACGGTGGGTCTTGATCTTCTAGCTCCTCTTGATCCTTTTCAATTTCTGCAAATAAATTCAGACAGAGACAAACACATTAAGCAGGTTCTCCTACACACACAAACAGCCCACTGTGCAATCCTAACATAGGAACATCAGTTTCCTCAGTGGGAGAACAAGACAATGTGAGAGAAACATTCCAGGAGGCCTGAGGTCCTGTCAAGAGAGAGATGCTTTGGTTTTCTTCCCTGAGCCTAGGAATGAAATCTCCCTGTTGTTATAGATCGTTATCACAACATCAACAGTCCTGATTTTGTGCAAATAGCTATGCAAATTTTTCACACCAATTCAAGGCAAACACTTCAATGGCTTTCTAGAAGGAAAACTGCAATATTCAGCCTTCAGTCATCAAATACCCACATTGTTCAAGGTTGCAAGGATTTTAGACACTGAAATTAGAATGAAGGAGAGAACGTACAGACCCTCGAATCAAAATGAAACTTTGGTACTACAAAGAGACATTGGTTGTTTGTGACATCTAGGAGTGACAAGGCCCAGTCTTGTTTCTAGACACATAACAAAAGCAAATGTACTGCTCACCTAAAACAGGCTAACATCAGAGACACAGAGAATGAGGCTAGGTTCTTTGAAACTTAGGTAATATCTTTAAGGAAAAGTAGACTAAGATGCCACAGGCCTTGGGCAGGCATAGAATCTCAAAGGACATGGTTACAGAAAGGAACTTGTAAGGAACACAATAGCTGGCAAGACAAATCTTATTCAGATTAAGAGGCCTGACCGACACCTGTTGGGCACGTGCTGCGTAGGTTGGTTTGAATTTGTCAATGTCGTGACAGTGGCCCAGGGTGACACAGGCCTGGTCTGAGATGAGAAAGAGAGCAAAGCTCACTGACCCACCCCATGTCTGTGCTTCCAACTTGATTTTCGATTCTGATGCAAAACATCCTGTGTCTGTGAGTCATGCCCACCCCAATGACACATCTCTGTCCAGCCAGGGGTGCAAGGATTACAGAGTCTACCTGGGACACCAATTGGAGATTTATTGTGGTCACAATGGAGTACTCACTGTCTACAAGAGCCAAGCTGACTTGCTTTTCTTCAAAACAGTACGAAGTGCTCCCATAAGGGCGGTAGGAGTGAGGTAGTTCAGGAAGGATGGAAGGAGTCAAGCAACATCCATCCAGTGACTCCTGGGGGACTTCACGCTTGTCCCCCCTCAGTGGTCCCCTGCTGAGCCTGTAAGGTAGGAAGGAGTAAGGATTAATCCAAGGAGTTTCAGAGCCCTGCTGGATTCACGTGAGGCAGGAGGGAGTGATGGCAGAAATCAAATGGGTCAGCCCATTAAAGAGTTCAATATTCTCCTCTTTGTGGTGGGTCACAGTGTGGTTGCCATGGGGTAGGTTGCAATACAGACAGAGGGAAAGAGAGATGAGAGAGAGAGAAGCATCAGGAGCTCAGCGAAGTGGCCAGATCACGATTTTCTGAGGAAGGAGACTGAGTCTCTCTGTATGGTGCAGTCGTGACTCACTGAATATCCTGTTCCATAATGGTAGCTTCATTCCTTTTTTAAAAATGGTATTAAATTTTATGTGTAGGGGCCAAGTAAACATAGCATTTGAGGCATAATTATATCCCCAAACTCTCATGCCATGAAGTCCTTCTCTCATTATTATGTGTGGTATAATAATTTTTTTCTACCTAATTTCCTTGCCTAGAAATGCTTAGCATTGTGTTAATGCAAAACTAGCAGAAAGCAGATATGCATCTCAGGCTGGTTGAAAACATAAGAGGATCGCTGCTCTAAGGAAATCGCTGGGACTGATTAGTTTTTCACAGGATCAACTGGTTTTATGTACTGAACCTGAGAAGTTAACACAAAATGGCTAACAATGCAAGGATCACAATGAAAATGTAAAACATGGTTAGAAAGGATCATTTCTGGTTGGCTGAAGTCCTGATATTCAGGACTTTCTGGTTTTCTGTGGATATGAGTTCCACAGGTGTCACCCCTGAATAGACAGCCCCTGAATTTCTTTAATTACCTGGGATCAATTGTTTGTTTTCCTTTCACCTCTTCAAGATTATTTTGCTTTTCTGCAAGTAAATTAAGAGAAGACCAGTCAGATGAACTTAATCACATTTATACATTCACAACCTTGTGTCCAAACCTACTTAGGGGCATAAATATACTTGGTGTGATAACAGGCTATTGTGAGAGAAATTTTCCAGGAGGCCTCAAGGTGAGCCTTGTGAAAAGTCACTAGGTTTGCTTTCCTGAGCCATGGAGCAAATCTCCCTGATATGACAGGTCATCATCACAGTCCCTTCTGTCCTGAGTCACAGCAAAATGTTAACCATATCCTATTTACTGACAGATCCCGGAAATCTACTTAAATGTTTCCTAGCAGGTTACTGCAGTATTCAGCATGTTTCCATCTGATAACATGTTTTCGGTGTTTTTGTAGAATGTACATTTAGAGGGACAGATTAAATCAAATGAATCTCTAACGCTACGTGGATACATTGGTCTTTCATGAGGCAGGGAGTTCCAGGGCCCAGCCTCCTTTCAGAAACACACAACATCTAATAGTGGTGTCATGTTCTGGTACTCACAGACCTCTTAGCTAAGACAAGCCTGCTAAAAGGGGAGGGAGTCTAGCCTGAGAGAAGTGAACGAGGGTAATGACAGCTCCAAGGATATAGATAAGGCTGCCAGTGGCCTTGGACAGGCAGAGAAACTCAGGTTATTTGAGAAGGAAAATTAGAAGATTTCATGTGAGATGACAGATGAAATCTAAATCAGGAGGACTGGTGGATACATCCTGCACCCAGGCTGCAGAGGTGGGTATGAATTTGTCAGGTCAACCTTGGGTACAGTGATTTGACAATGGGGCAAAGATGAAAGACAATGTGTGGTTGTGGAGGAGGATGGAGCAAAAACACTGACTCCTAGGATGCCTTTTTTCAAACTCAATTCTAGAGCCTGGTTCTACCAGTGTATAAGCATATTGTCTTCCTGAAGGTATGAAATCTGTCATTATGGACAGATTGTGGGGTGCAAAGAATAGGGAGCCTACCTAGGAAGCCAAGTGGGGTTTCATCCCATTTGGAATTGGAGTAATCCCTGGCAACATCCTGAGCAGAGCAAACTTTCTCTTCATCCAGTGCCAAGAAAGTGACTTCATGATGCAGGTAAGAGTTGGATATATCATGGTGTCTAGAATGAGAAAAAACACATTCCTCTAGTAAGTCCTGCAGGACTCCCTTCTCCTCAGACTCCTGCACCCTCCTGATGAGCCGGGTAGGATAGGAACGACAGCAGATTAGATCAAGACAGACTCAACACCACAGCATCTCAGGTGATTTGATGGGACACAAAGGGAGTGGTCAGAGAAAGCGAAGGGGGAGCCTCTCCAAGAGAGAAAAGTCATCCTTCTAAATGTGGGGTGGATGTGACTGCCCTGGGGACAGAGCAAATGCCAGCAGCAGGTGCTCAGGGCACTTGCCACAAAGGAGCTGCTGCAGGAGACCCAGACTCTCCCTGTAAACTAGCAGCATGACCTGCAGCAGAGAGATCTAACACAGGCCTTCACTTCCTTCACACAAATGGCGTTGACATTTACATGCAGCATCTAAGTGAACAGAGCTCTTGAGGCATTCCAGACACACAGATGCTGTGTTTTTAAGTTCCCCCTTTTTCAAATTTTGACATCATACGAAATTTTTATTTTTAATTTCTCTCTTGCAACTAAGTAGTTGCCAACATGCTGACACAAAACACACAGAAATCATATATGCATCTCACTCTGGATTAACCACATGGGAGACCACAGGTGAGATCAGGAAATCCCTGAGTTTAGTCAGTTCACCTGGCTCAACTGATTGTCTGTTCCTATGCTTGAGAGAGATTAAGAAATGAAAGGTATTCAAGTACCACAATAAAGAAGACAACATTGTAAAAGGGGTAATTTGCAGTTGGATGAATGGATGAGACAATTCTATTCGTCACTTCCTATTTTCCCTGGATCCGTGGTGTCCAGGTGTCACTACTGAACCAACAGCCCACAAATCCACAGTTACCTGGGGAGCACTGGCACATTCCCCTGTTCTTCCTCACGATCATTTTGATTTTCTGTAAACAAATTCAGAAGAGCAGGTCACAGTAAGGAATCAGTGCCCAGTCATGGCGCAAGACACAAATATCTTCAGTGTAAGAATGTGACATTTTGACAGGAAGGTTGTAAGGCACCGTAAATTAAGTCTTGTCAGAAGTAGATGAGCCTCCTTTCCAGGCCCATGAAACAAAATCTCCCTCATCTGGTAGATAACAATCACCTCTCCTCTGATCTAAGTCTGTGCCAACAGTTAAAGAAAACTTTTCTCACAAGAATTCAAGAATTGCCCTAACTACTGTCCAGAAGTGTTGTTGCAATACCGATTTATCTCATCATATATCATGGTCAATGAATGGTTAGAGAAATTTATATAGGAGACTGAACTGATGGATAAATTCTAACAACCCCTGCATAAAAATGGATCTGTGGTACTACACAGAAACATTGGCCACTCATGGTTTGAAGAACTCAGAGCCCAGCCTTGTTTAGGGAAACTACAAGCAAGATAAAGGTATAAGTGTTTATGTCCTGCTTTCAAGGTGGCTGCTTAGCTGGGACAAGCTGATTTAAAGGAGACCAAGCCTGGGGCTGAGAACAGTGAATGCAGAGAAACAACAGCTCCAAATACACAGGCAAGACTGTCAGCGGCCTGTGACAGGCATAGAAACTCCATGAACATTGTTGAGGGACACTAATCATTATTGCATGTGACAAGAGTCATAGGAACCGAGCCAGGAGGCCTGACAGCTACCTCCTGTACACAGATGGCTATGACTTTGTCACACCTGCCTGTGGTCCAACATGCTGACATTGGGGCCAGGAAGACAAAGTGATGCCATGGGTCAAGGAGGAGAGGAAAGGTCTCTGACCCTTGGATAACTGTGTGCAATATTCCCTCATAGTTTCTTTTCTCTCCCTTCCCTTCCTTTCTCTCCTTCTGTCCTTTTTTCTTTCTTTCTCTCTCTTTCTTTCCTTCCTTCCTTCCTTCCTTCCTTCCTTCCTTCCTTCCTTCCTTCCTTCCTTCCTTCCTTCCTTTCTTTCTTTCTTTCTTTCTTTCTTTCTTTCTTTCTTTCTTTCTTTCTTTCTTTCTTTCTTTCTTTCTTTCTTTCTTTCTTTCTTTCTTTCTTTCTTTCTTTCTTTCTTTCTTTCTTTCTTTTCTTTCTTTTCTTTCTTTCTCTCTTTCTCTCTCTCTCTCTCTCTCTCTCTCTCTGTTTCTCTCTCTCTGTATTTCTTTTTCTTTTTTTTTTGAGACAGAATCTCTGTCTGTCACTCAGGCGGGAGTGCAGTGGTGCAATTATGACTCACTGCAGTCTCTGCCTCCTGGGTCCAGATGACTCCCCCCATCAGCCGCCGGGTAGTTGCGATGACAGGCACGCACCACCATGTCTGGCTAATTTTTCATATTCTGTGTAAAGACTGGTTTCACCACATTTCCCAAGCTGGTCTTGAACTCCTGAACTTAAGTGACCCACCCACCTAAACCTTGCAAAGTGCTGGGATTACAGGTATGAGCCACTGCACCCAGCTCTGTCTTAGTATGTAAATCAAACCAATATGTATGTATGCAGCCTGTCCTCAGAATTGATCTTCCTCAGCCTAGACAGAGGCAGGAGGGACAAAGAATAGAGAGGCTACCTGGGAGAATGTTTAGAGCTTCCTTCTCTTCATCATGAGAGGGTTCATTCTCTACAACCAGAGCAGAGCCGACTTTGTCTTCCTCAGATGTGATTTTGGTGCTCCTGTGAGGCTGGTTGGAGTCAGATGGGTCGTGACTATTTGAACAAGTGACAGCACATTCCTCCAGTGAGTCCTGAGGGACTTCCTTTCCTTCAGCCATCTGCACCTCCCTGATGTGCCCGGTGGGATAGAAATGACAGAAGATTAAACCAAAAGGCATTGGACCCCAGGAAGTCCTACTGGTTTTGACAGGAGGCATAAGAGAGTGGTCTCAGAAAGCAAAGGGGAGTTTCCCTTTAAGATGGAACAGACAGGCCGGGCGCGGTGGCTCACGCCTGTAATCCCAGCACTTTGGGAGGCCGAGGCAGGCGGATCACAAGGTCAGGAGATTGATACCACGGTGAAACCCCGTCCCTATTAAAAATACAAAAAATATAGCCGGGTGCGGTAGTGGGCACCTGTAGTCCCAGCTACTCAGGAGGCTGAGGCAGGAGAATGGCGTGAACCCGGGAGGCGAAGCTCGCAGTGAGCGGAGATCGCGCCACTGTACTCCAGCCTAGGGGACACAGTGAGACTCCGTCTCATAAAAAAAAAAAAAGGAACAGACAATCCTCTCCTCTCTGCAACAGAGCAGAGAAAACCAGAGACGAAACAGTGGCTGGTGATCACTGCACTGGGTAGGTAGGAGCTGAGGACGGAGACTCAGCTGTCTCTGTATGGTGCAGTCTTGAGAGCACACACAGAGACTAAAAACAGCTGCCACACGGTGTGTCTAAGCCGGGTTGTAGTTAACCTACTGTGGCCACAGGAATACAGGCCTTTGAGCCATTGTAGACTCCAGAGATGGTGTGCCTTCTAAATTTATTTTTATTTTAATATTGTGACATGAAATGTAAATTCTTTGTCTAGGTACTTTTCTTTGTGTTCAACTTTGCTAGGTACTTCCTAATTCCTCTGTTTGTTGCCTCTCTGCCATTTATCTTTCCTTAAAAGAACATAAAGACAACCGTGTAGAAAGCAGCTTTGCATCTCCTCCTGGCTTTCACTGCAGGGGAGAACATGTCTCCTCTGTGTGTGCAGGAAGTCCCTTGGGCTGTGAGTTCATCTAGGGTCATGCTTACGCGTACCATGAAGACAATGGACAAGCATGTTAACAGGGCTATTTCCTTGCTGGGTGAGTGCATGAAATCAGTGGACTCTGCAGGTTTCTTATCCTGCATCTGGAATCTGTAACTACCTTCACCCGCCTTGTGTTCTTTCTGAGACCCTTTTCATGTTTTACCACCCATTACCCGCTCCTGATTATTCAGTGTTACCTGGGAGCAGGTGATTCCTGTACTTTCTCAATCTCCTCATCTTTCTCATCTTCATACTCATCTTCATCATTCTCTGCAAATACAGAAGTGTCCATTCAGGTATTTCCTACTTCACCTATGCAAGTACAGTGAGCCCTATGTGCACGGATACACAAACATCTATATGTATGAGACCAGACTGTACAAGAGCTCTCATGTTTTATCTTTAACAAAATGCCCTGGAATGGTTTCCTAATCCATGAGGCAATGCATTTCTGATCTGCAGGGTCACCATCAAGATGTGGCCAAATATTGAAAAGACTTTTTCCTCTTCACATCACTGCAGGCTTGTCCAGCCTCTCTCTGAACTTCAGCAGCTGTCTCCCCAGTCCTCCCACAGATGTGATTCCCAGGCACAGGCTGTGTGTCCTGTCACAGCTCGCATTTAGAACCTGTATCTTTCTCTTAGAACAGGACAAACAGCCTTGTCCCACAATACTCCGTACATCAGGGACTTCATGTGCCCCCCAAGTGGCTTATACTGTGTTATCCAGGGACATTGTCTCCATGGGGAGTGCTCCAGCCTCAACCACTTCCTACCACCAAATGCTAGCACTTCAAATACCTTCTCCAACAGCACACAGCAAGGGGCTTTATCTCATTGTGCAATATAGTCATAAGTGTTCCCACATTTGAATGCCAGAGACAATTTGTTTGCTTTTACAGATTTAGCGACAGAAACCCAGGAAGGATAAATTAATCAGTTGACCACAGTTGCTAAGGACGTCGTTGAAGATAGAGCCTGGGAACCTTCACTCTTAGGCTGGGCTCTTTTCACTCTAACAAGCTGCCTCCTGTCACAGCCTCCTTCCTGTCCTTTAAAACTGGACAAATGCTGCGTCTTGCTCCAAAGACTATGTTCCATCAAGAAAGGAGGAGACCTTTGCAATACTGTGACCTCCAGCCCAATGGGTTTCCCATCTCTGTTTTTACCCAGGAAGTCCTGGTCATGTCACAGCCACAAATGTTTACGGGAAAGATACACTATACATAAAATGGTCATTGTGGAGGTGTGGAGGTCTGAGGACTTTCATAAGCCTAGAGCTGTGTGTCATCACGGCCCGTGGCCACCTCACCTGGACGGAGCTTGTGGAGAAGGCGCTCTGCCAGCCGGTGCCCCTCAGCCAGCTGCTCTCGGAGGTCCTGACCCTGGAACTTGTCAAGGTCATCAGGAGCGAGGAGGGCCTTGAAATGCTGATTCAGTGAGCGGGAGGCATCTCTCCCTTCCTGTAACTTCTCCCGTAACTGGGTCAGCTCTCGTGCCTGAGAGTGAACCAGGGCTTTATATTGCCTAAGGTGAGATAGTAGAGAACATTTAATAAAAGAAAGGAATGAATGATCAGTTTTAATACTACAATATAGATATCTTTCAGAATGTCTTCAAGGAGACCTCCAAGGAGAAGGTCAGCACATGTTTGGAGAAATGCCTGTGGCCAAGAGAAAAATAATAATATTAATAAAAATATATTTTTAAGGTATATATATATATGTATTTTAAGGCTCCCTCTATGTAAGAGAGTGCTCCTGTAAGATCCTCGATGATGTTCCATTCATCTATTCTTTCTGTAAACAAAAGCCGGTGTCTTTCTAGATCAGTTCCAAATGGATTTCTTTTCAGTTCCTCACTTTGGCCATAGACATTTCTATATGGAAATTCACACAGTGCATCTTGCAGTAAATAGAGCTAAAGCCATGCAAAGAAATGTGACCAGGTGCAAATGCAGTGGATTGGTAAGATATAAGAAGAAAAAAATAACAGGGTCAAAACCACAATACTGATTGAACGAATGACATGCGGCAGTCAGTCAGGAGGCGATTCTAACTAAGAGTAAATGGGGTGGTGATCACACACCATTTGAGTGTGCTAAATGCTGCTGGGTGGTTCGCTTTCTTTTGCATAACTTTGGTTATGCAAATTTCACCTCAACAATTCCCTTGTTTTAAAAAGAGAAAACAAGGTTCAAGAAATAACTGCAACCCATAACTTACTAAGATGACTGTTCTCAATTTTATAAATATTTGTGTGACATGTGCTTGCCATGTAAATGCCTGCCCTTGTCCTGGCCCAGCTTAGCTCTTAGTTCTCCCAGCTGAGTTGCTGCACTTCGGAGATTCACACCCCTGCCCATCTGCCTGCCCCCAATGGGGCCTACTCACCCGAGCTCCTCAGCTTTCCTGAGCTTCTCTGCCAGCTTCTCCGTGAATTGCTGTTCATCCCTCAGCACAGAGTCTATGATGTCCTTGTACTCTTCGCATTCTGAGAAAAGACAGACATGCCTGCCTCAGTGCAAGGCTGGACATGCAGCTGGGGTCACTGCCTACAGGGCAGGTGGCAGCATACATCCAAAAGATGAAAGCAGCCCCAGTACCAGGCTCTAGGCAGGCATTTCCACATCTTTAGTTATCAACCTCCCAACTTTCTGTTATCTGATACTCCCCAAATTAGAGATGGGAAGAAAGAAACTCAAGGGCCCATCAAGTAGCTTGAGAAGATGATTCACCTGGAACAAGGCAGAGTCAGAATTCACAGCCCCTGAGGTCTGACTCTGAATCTTGGGACATTTTCCCAAGCCTTGCAGCCTCTCCTGTAAAACACTGCGCTGGGGCATGAAGTAATAATATCCTGCACAGTCGGGAAGACCCTTAGCACTATGGGACTCACGGTTTCCCTGGTACTGGAAATTTCAAGCACAAGTATGTCAAATATGTAAAATATCGTATCTGAATATAATTGCATAAAATATGAGGCATAACACCCAAAGGCTATAATAGAAATATGCCCAAATACTAATAAACTTTGAATTAAGTTAAACACAGTAGAATGAAGAACTAATAGAGAGTGTTTTCCCTATGCCAAGAACTGTTCTAGAAGATTTAGAAGAAATGGATCATGTAAGTCATTGCACCACTTTTCTGGGGTATGTATTATTATAGTACCCAGTGAACAGATGAGGAAACGTAGGCACAGAGAAGATAGGCAACTTGGATGGAGCCCAGGAGCCCAGGGTCCCTGCTCTGCACACTACACTGCTACCTCCACAATGTCTTATGTGCCAGCTTTCTTCCTCTTTAGGAATAAGAGCCTGTGCCCCAGGAAGCAGGACTTCCCTCTCACCATGGTACTCCTTGCTCTTGATGCTGTCACTTATGGCTGCCGCAGTTACTATTAGGAGTAGTCTCCTCTTTAAACTCCTTAGAGCGGGTGCTGTTTATTGTCACTATGTTTCCCCCAGGGTGCCCAGAATAGAGCTTTGCCTAATGGGCCTCAAAGAAGTTTGTACTGAATGGAAGTTCATTAGTCCCAGACGTTTAGACCAACAGACTAGATGTTACCTGTCTGCAGCATCTTACATGGTACAGAGAGGATTCTCATAAACATGATTTAGCCTATTGCTGAGAAAAACAGGTGGTTCTGTTGCCTGTGTCAGCAGTCAATATGATGGATTTTAATTCTACTCTCACCGCACACCAGACTGCAAATGTGGAAAAGTTGCTAAATACTTTGTGCCTCTGTTTTCCATCCTTAACACCATGAAGTTAAAAAATCCATTTCTATTTTCCTAGAGGTATGGGAAGGATGTCATTAATTTTGATGAAGAGACCGTTCAGTTTCTCAGAGGCCACAGGTGGTCATTCATCACTTTTGTGATGGTGAATCTATACATAGAACTTACTGTATTTCTTTAGCTGGTTGGCCAGGGAGTAGGCAGTAGCTTGAGTTATAAGGAATTTCTCTTTGAGGTCTCGGAACTGCTGATTGCTCTCTGCCAGCTGGGTACGCAATTCCTTGTTGATTTCTAGGATGTTCATCTCTGCCCTCTCGCCGGACAAAGGGTCGGCAGATACCACCATGCTGACGTTTGTGGCATAAGAGGTAGAGCCAGGGACTGGGGAGAAGAAACCCAAACACATGATGGGTCAAAAACTAGTGAAATCAGTTAGGTTTCATTAGGACTGAGAGATGACAATAACTGGAATTGTTAACTTACAGTTGAGAGAAACTTGATCAACACCCCACAACACTTTAGAGTCCTTAACCACAAAAACAGGGTCCAGGACGCCTGAGCTCAGAGCTGAATGCACTGCCTATATCTCCGACTCTGACAAGAGTGAGGGAGGTAGCAGCCAGCGTGCCAGGTAACGGTCTGCAGTTGCAATAACAGAATTAGAAGGTGGGGGTGTCATGGAATCTTAGGAGCCCTGTATTCCAATTGCCCAGGATGTGCTGAAACACTAGGGCCCTGGTCTCACCTGATGGTCACTGATGGGGACCATTTCTTCAGCAGTCACTCTCAGTATTAGTGCACCCTTGTGACAATGCTACAGGCCCACCTCTTTCCCAATACATCTAAGCATATTCCTCATTGCTCATCCCTTGTGTGTATAAAATCGTCAAGGTAGAGGTAGTTTCCCAAAAGCTTATATTTTCTTAGTGGTAGTCACAAAATCACTCTACCTTCTCTAAGTTGAATCAGATCCTAAGGCTTTTCCACATGTGAAAGATATCAGACTTTTAGACTGCCATGATATCCCCTGGGTCTTCTGCATTTTTTTCTGTAGCTACTGAAAAGTGAATGAATGATTCATTTTTGAAAATGTTTTCTCTCCTGGCTCAGTATTCCTCTTGCTGCATCCCATTGTTATGTTGATTTCTTTTCTCTTACTGGGGCAGCATCTTGGCTTTTTATTACACTTAAGACCAGTTTCACATCCCTATGTCCATAGCTCTTCCTCTATGTGTAGGTTGATTTGTTTTTTAGTGTCACTGAACACTCGTTTCATACTTGTCACTTACAAGTATCATTCTGGTCCCACAAGAGCTCTTTTCAAGGTATTAAGTGATCAAAATAATTTGTACATATCCCCTGAAAACATGTATGACCATGTATCTTGGGAAATCTTGTAAACCCGAGGATATTTTGTTGTTTTTGGTTTTCCCATATATTGAAAAGAACACGGCCTTGAATGCTTCTCAGAGAATATTATTGGATATATACATATGTAATATTGAGTTGCTCTAACACCGTTGATGTGTGGTTGCATTCCACTAACAGAACCTGGCAAGATCAAGCTCACAGTCAGGGGTGGTTGGTGATCCTCCGTGTTCCTGTGCAGCAGAAGGTGAGTTTGAGATGAGAGGGACGAGTAGGGGAGCGTGCTCCCCCGAACCACCTCCTCACTTTCTCAGCTTCCATCCTCAACTAGGTTTTGTGAGGCTAGGACTTGGGAATTTGTCCTGTAGCCCAGATCTCCTAAGTGTGGCTGCTGAACTTGCCTGAGTTGAGGTGTGATAAGTGTGACCACGGGCTACCCAACATTCATGTGGAAGTGAAGGGAGGAGGACTGGATTAATCCCATTGGAAAGTGCTCCTCTCAGCAGCCTGCACCATCCTCCAACTACACTGTGTAATGACAGTGCTTTGAGATGTATTAAAGCTATAAATTTATCTATTCTCTGGTGTCTCAGAGACTTGACATTCTGTGTCAGAGTGAAAATCTGTCTAGTTTCTTCATTTTAAAAATGATGAAACTGCAGGTTCACAACGTTACATGGTTTACTTGAGGTCATACAGGGATGAATTTTGAGCACTGCCAAAAAAAGGAATCACAAAAGCTATTCAGTAATTATTTATAGAATCCATGTAATTCAGTAAAAAGTCACGTAATTATTTATTCACCAATTCATACTAGGCATTTTGTTCAAAACTGTACACATACTTGGATATCTTATTTTCATCATAATCCTTAAGGCAATGTTATTTTCCGTAAGACACAGGTAAGAAACCTGAAGAAGAGGGATAGCAAATCATGTATTTGGCCGTATTCCTATTTTTTGGTTTCTGTGATGCTGGAAGAATGACCAGAATGAGTCATGGGAAGAGCATTCATCCCTGTATCATTTTCCAGGACAGAGGTGTGCCCTCCTTCAGCACTGGGACAAAAATCAGAAGTGTCTGCAATCTTGCTTTCACAACGTGGGAAATAACCTCTATTACCTGGAATTTCACTGGAACTTTGGAATATACAAGAGAAGTATGACACTTGCGTCTTCCCATGGCTGCAATTAATTCACTCTTCTCATTAAGACTTTTGCCTTGTTATAACCACAATATATATTTTATGGAGAAGATTTTACTCTTAGCTCTATTTAGAATGAATAAATATAAGCTATGATTTAGGTTTTACGCCCTGGACTTAATATTTTTTCTGATTCCTGTTTTGAGATTAAATTCTCATGTAAATACAAAAATGCTTCTTATTACTTATAAGAGTAAATTAGTTATTGGTTTGAGTTTCTGAGGTCGAAGCACAAACTTTTGTTTTTCATCTTTGTCTGTCCCCATCAGTGCCACTCATTGTCTCTCAGTATGACCTGGCCGTGCTTCTGCACTTACCCTCATCCTGTTGAACCATCTCCAAGCACAGTACAATTCCATCAGTGATTCAGGCTCTTCTCAAGCTCCCTGAAATGGATCCAGGTCCCAGGATGTCAGACACCTTCCAGACACAAAAGCAACACATACTGTAGAGAGTGCAGCAGGGTTCCCACCTCCCTGAAGTTGGCAGGGATGTCCTAGGGCAGGAAGGAATGCTTTCCCTTTTTAGGGGGTCTTTTCTTCATGTCTCAGTGCCTCTGATCTTGTGACCACAACTGTCTTGAATGTGAAAGAATTGCAAAATTTATGGTTTCTTTTCAGTTGGCTAGAACAGATTTATAAGACTTACCCATGTCTGCTGAAGTTTGAATTCTTGGTAGTATGATTGTTGTTGTTTTCCTTGTAAGGTGAGCGGCTTGCAGAAGACTGGCCTTGTTGCTGTACAAAAAGACGTAAACTTAATTTCTACTCAAAGCAAGTTTGAATTTGAAACTAGGGCTTCCGTTGTTCCAAAGTTGGACTGTCACTGCCTCAGGCATGTGTCCTGAAGGGCTCGTGTCTCTGCCGTACTCAGGGTAAAGTTAAGATGGAGAGCAGCAAGGCGGGTCTCCTTCAATTCTAGGTTCCCCCAAGAATTTTCTCCACTTTAAGAGACTGCATTGAATATATTCTTGTTCTGCTTTTGTGTTTGGGCTTTGGAATGATGTGATGAGGCTCAATGATTCCCACCCCCAAGTTGACCAGAGAAAGAAACACTTGGGAAGGTCGGTGCAAATACAAGTCCAGTGTCCTCCTTGCAGGGATTCTGATTCAGTGCGCTCAGGTGGGGCCTGGAATTTATTTGTTAACATGACTCAGATGTGCAGTCCGTTTGGGGGACCCTCTGATACCACGGACCTTATAGTTGATGGGATGATTCTGTTTTGCTGATGAAGAAACCAAGGCACAGAGAGTCTGTAACTCACCCAAGTTCCCTTTGCTGTAAGGACTGAAGCCAGATCTCAGGTAGAGTCTCCCTCCCACAAGCCCCATTCCACGTTTTCCAATTCAGTTGTGTGGTTTCTTTCCAAGTAAGTGTTTCTCTCCCCTGTACCTCATTTCTGCATCCCCGCCTCAAAAATTTTTTTTAATTTAATTTGTTTCATCTAATACATTTCCTCTCAACATGCTGTCAGCAACCTATTCTGAAAACTCACTATGTGACATGCCTCTTTTTGAGACAGGGTCTCATTCTGTTACTCAGGCTGAAGTGCAATGGTCTGTACTGCTCACTGCTACCTCATACTCTTGGGTTCAAGTGATCCTCCTGTCCGAACTTCCCAATTAGCTGGAACTCTAGGCACATATCACCATTCTGGCTAATTTTTAAAAATTTTTTGTAGAGATGAGGTCTTGCTATGTTGCTTAGGCTGCTCTCCAACTTCTGGCCTCAAACAATTCTCCCACCTAGGCCTCCAAAAGTGCTGGGATTACAGGAGTGAGCCATTGATCCTGGCCCTAAAAAGCTTTAAAAAAAAAAAAGCAGGACATGGAGATGTGGAAAGATACCTCTCTGTATTACTGTTGTTATTATTATTACTTCTAAAGTAGAATTCATATATCACAAAATTCTCCATTTTTATGCATACCATTCAGCGTCTTTTACTATATACCCAAGGTTTTGCAGCCATCACCACTGCCTAATTTCAGAATACTTTCGTAATGCCGGAAAACATGCCTGTACTTACTGACAGTCACTCTCCAATTCCCCCGTTTTTGCAGTCCCTGTCAAACACTAATCTACCTTCTCTGTATATAGATATAACTTGTTCTGGGCATTTTCCTGTATATGGAATAATGCAACATCACTTTTGCATCTCTTACTTATTACAATGTTCTCAAGGTTCATCTTGCTGTTACATGCATCAGTACTTCAATCTTTTTGTGGCCAAATGATATTCCATTTTATAGTTATACCAGATTTTGTTTACCTGTTCATCAACTGATGGTGGTTTGGAACGTTTCCACTTTTTCACTATATTGAATAATGCTGCTTATAAACATTTTTGTACATGTTTTTTTTAATGAACATTGATTTAATTTTCTTGTGTTATATACTAGGAGTGCAAGCTGTTGCTATCATATATTGACTTTATGTTAAGTTTTGAGGAATCTGACGAGCTGTTTCCAATCTCAGTGGCTACGCATTTACATTCCCACTAATAGTATATGAGAATCCATTTCCACTATAACTTCCAAACATATGTTGTGTTTTTTTAAGTCACCCTTGTGGGGTCTGATGTGGTATCTCATTTGATTTAAGTTTACATTTTTCCTAATGAGGAAAACATTGAACATCTCTGCATGTGCTTGTTGGCCATTTGTATGTATCTTTTACAGAAATGGTCTTTTGAACATTTTTCCCATTTTTAAATTGGGTCATTTGTCTTTTGCTCACTTATGTGAGTTCTTTATATACTCTAGATACTAGACCCTTTAGGGTAATGATGTTGCAAATAGTTCTCCCATTATATGGATTATATTTTCACTTAGAAATGTGTATCCAGAGTCACAAAGATTTGTACCCTATGTTTTCTTCAAGACATCGCTTTGGAATGAGAACTCTCCTGGGTTTTAGTGGAGGACGGACATTGTTTATTACGCCTCTTGTCTGTTACAGATATTTCTCTGATTGGTATTCATACGACCACCGCCCCTCCATGGAGCATCCAATGGCTTGGAACAGAGCTCTGGGGACTGGGCATCCTTCCACTGACTTGACACTGATGAGAGCCCTGAACATGTGATTCTGTTGGCCTTAACCTGACCCACATGCATGTATTCCTCAGACATCTAGAGCTGAAGTCGAGAGCCTCTGTGGGAACGCTGGCAGCCTATGCTATTCTAAGGCTGGAGCAGACTATTATTAGTCTATTCCAGCCAGACAGGACTGCAGGGGGTCCAGCCCCTACAAGCCCCTCTGTCTGAATAGACTGCGTTCATCTCTGGTGTTAGGGAGCAGACCTGTTTCAGGGGTTGGGGAAGGTTGTTCGATATGAAGTGGGGTCCTCTTTAATTATTTTTACAGTATGTGTGACTTCTTCCTAGAAAGAATGGAAGAATATTTATGTTAGAACATTTTATCAGTTATTTGTCAATTGTTGTTTGTCTGCAATTTTAGAGTAGATTAAAGGAGAGCTCAATGTAAATATACTCTTAATACTTAAATTATGGTTGATGTCCACTGCCTGAGATCATATTTACTTCTATATACTATCTATTACTTAGGAATTGTCCTGCTCCTGATGAGAAAGCAGACTCAGAAAGATTACAAAATTGCTAGGCCACAAATGTTGTGAGGAGAAGAATAAGAATTAGAAACTAGTTTCTTTGGCCTTCGAAGCTAACCTTATACCATTAGATCGAACTGAATGACAGTACTTTTTGCTAAAGCAAGTCTCATAGTTTGTGGTTCTGCATTGTTTTTCCAAGGAAACAGTGTGTCGCTTTAATATATTTTAAACTTTTAAATGTCAAATTCTATTTTTTAATAAAACTTTTTTTGTGTTTGTTCTCTTTCATTGTTTTTGTTTTGTTTTGTTTTTTCTCAAGGGATCCCTATTATTTATCT